AAACTTGGACTAATAGTCAGCATAAAATAAAGACAGACACATTAACAAAAAAGGAAGCTAGATATTTGCATGATAACCATAGCAACCTGAAAGAACTATTAGAAACAATAGAAACCAAATACCAAATAAATACAAAGATTACATAATGCATATGAATGGAGAACAAATAACACCTAATACATATGAAGAAGTATTGAAACTTCCACATGAAGAAAGAGAAAAATGGGAACTAGCTATGGAAAAAGAGATGGAAAGTTTACAAGGATTAAATGTATTCACACCTGCGATCGCACCTAAGGATAAAACAATTATAGGTACCCAGGTGGATTTATAAAATTAAGAACTTAGAAGGAGGCAATACCTTATACAAGGCTAGACTAGTTGCACAAGGCTATGCACAAAAATATCCAGAAGACTATACTGATACATATTCACCCACAGTGAGAACAGAGAGTGTCAAAACAGCCCTTGTAGTAGCATCTGCACTCAATCTGGACGTATTCCAATATGACATACAGACCGCATACTTACATGCAAAATTAGATAAGGAAATATATGTAAGAGCACCACACAGTCAATACACTAATAAGAACGAAATTTGGTTATTAAATAAGAGTCTGTACGGATTAAAGCAATCCGGCAAAAGATGGTACGATTGCTTGGTAAAAGTACTTAAGACCATGGATTTCAACGCCACCACTGCTGATAACTGTTTCTTTGTAAAAAAGAGTAATGATCATATTGAATTTGTATTAATTTACGTGGACGATATTTTATACATTGGAAAGCATAAAGAGAGCAGGGAAATCTTTGTAAATAAGTTAAATGAACACTTCTCACTGAAATCTCTGGGTAAAGTGAATAAATACCTTGGTGTGCAAATTAACAAAACTAAAAGGGGATTCAAACTTACACAGAAAGATAAAATCATCGAACTCCTAAACAAATGTAACTTAAATAATGCTAAAACCTGTGACACCCCTATGCAAACTGATTTTCTTAGAAACACTGATGAATCTTCCCCTGAGTTTAAAGACAACACATTTTACAGATCAGTTATAGGTTCACTCCTTTATATATCTAATTGGACTAGGCCAGATATTGCATTACCTCTCAATCTATTGTCAAGATATGTTAGTAAACCAACCTTGTATCATTGGGAAGCTGTCAAAAGAATTCTAAGATATCTGAAGGGTACATTAGATTTTTGTTTAATGTTGGAACCCAATAATGACAGAGAACCAAAAATTACTTGTTATGCTGATGCAGATTGGGCTGGTGATACATCATGCAGAAAGAGTACTTCTGGTTATGTTTTTCTATTGAATGATTGTCCAGTTTACTGGTATACTGGTAAACAAGAACTAGTAGCCACTTCTACTACAGAAGCGGAATATGTTTGTTTGTCCAAGGCTGCAAATAACCTTGTATGGTTCAATGATCTGATCACTGATGTTTGGAAGAAACCCACCTTACCATTTATTATGCATGAAGACAATAAAGCGGCCATTGAAATATCCAGATCCGATGCAATTGGACAAAGGTCCAGGCATATTGATATAAAGTTTAAGCATGTGAGACAACTGTCTCAAGACGGATTCATTAAAGCAATACATTGCGATACTTCTGAACAATTAGCTGACATATTAACAAAACCCTTACCTTCTAAACAACACAAATATTTAACTTCTAAATTATATGTATTATATTGTCCTGAATCAGAATGTAATTGGTGTTGTATAACGAACCGGCATTTAGAGGGGGATTTGTCAGATGTAAATGCCTTATTCTCCAATGTGTAAATAATGTATATATGGAACATCAGAGGTTAACTTATTCTTTGGACTTTAATGTATTCATAACTTACCACTCCCATTCCTAGCTCCACCCCTTGTATATATAAGGAGCCACCCTCACCATTCTCGTCGCGCTTCTACCTTGAATATTCAGTGAATATAGAATGCCTATCATAATTAAAAAGAATATATTTAAAGTTTAACTCCTATTATCTTTATTGAGTCTGATCCTGAAAATATTGCAACATATATTGTGATAAAAAGCAGCAATAGATTTAGGCAGCTGAGCTTCATTTAAACCGAGTATGTGGGGAAAACTAATATTTGAAAGATGACTATTTCATCACGGTAATGTACACCATACTTGCATGTTATGCCTCCATATGTTCTTAAGATATATGTACAGAGGTTTCATGTGCTATTTCAGAAGTTTGTTTGGCAAAACTATCCTGTTTTCTTTCAAAAAATTTCTACAGTCCATTAAGGAAGGCATGTTTCCTTTTTCAGGATAGCAAGATCTATCTATTGTACCAATAGAAGAGAATATTTGTGGCTCAAGGGTCCTTGGTGCTTCTGGGGTCCTTGGTGCTGAGCTTGGTTGTTTTCTTGCAGATGTTTCTTTACCAAACTACGTAACATTATCAGTGCTAGTAGGGAGTGGAGTTTCTTATTTTCTATTTTAGTGGCTTGCCCTGCCACTGTTGGTGGGAGTGGTCTTGTTGGTTCTTTGATTATGCTGTTGTTTACTGTTAGTTTACTTGGCAGTTCCTTGATAGGGGTATTGTTTGCTACTTGATTGTTGATGTTAATCTACTGTACTGGAAAATTGGCCACATGGGCCATTTTAGATTGAGCAAATTTCGCTCCCCAAAATCCTTGAAAACTATAGAATTTTACCTCCTTCTATTTTTGTTACCCTGCCTGTCTTTTAATTTTTACAATCATGCTTAGTTAAGAAACAGGGAAAGCCAAATTGGAGAGGCAAAGTGTAGAGAATTCCCTCTAGTATTATAGGACTTCAATATAAATTAATAAGCCAATAATAACTGTTTATAAACAGTAGCTGCTACTAAGTATTAATTTGATATTTGAGAGTATATGGAGACATGGTGGGAAGAACCGAATTGTTTGCTAAGTGAACATTAATGTAGTTTTACAAATTTAAATGTATTATTTCAACAGAAATATTTCATATCTATTGGAAGAAACCAATAAATGCAGATAACTTGCATGTGGTATTTAGAACATAACACTAGTTGCTATGACATAGTCTTGTGTTACTTTTATAGCTCCCTTTTGGAGAATATATTTTACATGCATTACTTCGCTAGACTAATACATGAAATAAATGTTTGCTAAGCAGCAAATGAGATTTTTGCATGTATAATACTATTTTATAAATGGTGAATGGGGTTTTATGTATGCATAAAATGGCACTACTGATGTGTAAAATTATGAATGATTTTGTTCACTGTACCTGGACAAAACTGAGCTCCAATAAGCTGAGGGTGTACTGCATATTTTGGTTCTGAAAGATTCATGTAGATGCCCATTTTAACATAATATAGCAATAGCTTGGAGATTAATAAAAAGAATGAGATAATGCATACTTCTATAGGAAAGAATACTGTATAAATTGTTAAAAGAATATAAATTGACTTAAATATTGGTAATTTAGCTTCACAGTACAGAATGAAAGGTTTATGCATGAAGATATTGGGGAAGAGGCTACTGTCTTATATTTTTGATTCCTCTATGATGCAAAATGTATTTTAAAACACAGATGGATAATATCTTGGCTTTTTGTTTTCTTCGTTTACAACACTATTGACTAGTCATCTTGGCTAATCTTCCCAAACAAGGGAAACTTAAACCTAATTAGTACTTGAATCAGCATCCACTAGGAAATCCCACAATGGGAAGTTGAAAAGACATCCAGAAAATAGCAAGCTCTTTCTGTACTATTAATTACACAGATGTATCCACAAAGTCATCAGGAGGCAAGATCAGCCCAAAAGAAACTTTTAAGATGCTCAAAATTCAGATTTATGTACATCCTAGTAAGCACAGGTAGAACTCCACTACAAAACTGCTCTTTTACTGAGAACAAAGAGTATAGCATTCTACTAAAGAGCCCTTGTGACACAGTGGTTAGAAATGCAGTATTGCAGGCTAACTCTGCCCACAGCCTGGAGTTCTAGGTTGCTCAGCCTTCCATCTTTCTGAGATCGGTAAAATGAGACCCAGATCATTGGGGGCAATGTGCTGATATTGTAAACCGCTCAGAGAGTGGTATAAAGCACATAAGTGTAGGTGCTATTGCTAAAGTCAAGTTAGAACCCACTTTTATTTGCTGTTTGTGGATCTTAAAAGAACTTAGCCAACAAATGCCTCCTTTCTCTTTTTTTTTAAAGGTCAGGAGTACAAAGAAACACCTAGAGCAGTTTTGCTTTGTGGAACTATCTGCATTTCCTCCCTCTTCTTTGCAGGCCACTAACCTCTTCTTCGACCTGAGTTTAAAAAATAATAATAATAATAAGCTGCCCTGAGAGGCTCACTTCACGCGCCCCCTGCCGACAAGGGCACAAATTCTCACCTTAAAGCTGCAGGATGCTGGAAGCAAAACGTTTCAAAGCAGAGACGATACAAAAGTTGAGCTACAATACACCGACGAGCGTCTGCAAAATCGTGTAAAGTCACATTTCTCCCTTGTCCTATCCAAATCCAAAGTTTCTCTGCCTACAGGGCAAGGAGACCTGTTGTATACTTACCTCCTTTAAAACCACCACCGCCCCGCGCCTCTACCTCCGTTTCTCAATATTCCCTCGCATTCTTCAGACCGATACACAGAACGGTCCAACGCGTCCCATTTTTAGTTTTTGAAGGCAGCGCCCACGCATTCTCTCTCTCTCTCTCACACACACACACACACACACACACACACACACGCCGCGATCCCGCGTACGCGCGGATTTTGTTTTGGTAAAACCGCGACAAAGTCTGGCAAGGAAATGCCACGCAAAGTCTTTAAGGAGCAAACCCCGCGAACTTAGTTATCAACCCTCGTGAGCCTGGCCGCTGCGCAACCTTCCCACTTGAAATAAGTACAAAGCGACGGAAATCGACTAAGCTTTTATCCTTTCCGATAAACAGGGAGGGAGGGAGAGAGAGAGGGCGAGGCTGTAGGGCGCGACCGACTCTCACCTTTGTCGGGAAGGCTTCACTTTTTGCACACCTCCGTTTCAAGGAAAGGGCAGAAGAAGTGCAAGGCGACGCGACTGTGGTCACCGCAGAACTATCCTCCGAAAGGGGCTCGGCTCGAGTAGTACTTGCACAGCCGACCCGGAGCGCTCGGGAAGGTTCCGAAGAGGTGGGGAGTAAGAGAGCGGCTGCAGGCGGGTGGGGCACAGACCCTGGACGGCTGGCTCCTCTGGGCGGAGGCGGTCACCCGCCGGCACCACTCTCCGAGACGCTAAACGGGGAAATTAGCGGGATGTGAAAAGGAGCGGAGAGCGGCGCCAGCAGCAGGTCCCCGCTGGAGGACCTGGCGGGGAGGCGGCGCCGGAGCTGCTGCATGTGCGAGCGGCCAGTTGCTGCCGCGGTTGTTGCTCCTCCTCCGGCCCTCGCGGGGAAGGATGTGGAATTGGAGCCGGCCAGCCCTCTTCGCCTCCCGCCGCGGAGGGAGTCGCTAAGGGGTGGCCTCGCCCACCTCTCTTCTCCACGTCCAAGAACCACGGAGCGAGCTTTAAGTAGCAGCCCTCCCTCTCTTCCCGTTGGAAAGTAGTGACGTCTCCCTCCTGTGCCTACTTTCTGGAGAGCTTCGAGGCAAAGAAAGCGGGCCAGGGGCCCCAGATAGGCTCCCCATCCCCTAGCGCGCTCCCTTCAGCATTCGGTTTGGAGGGGCCTCCCTTTGGCATCTTTGCGGCTGCAGCCTAATCGCTTCTCAGCAGCCAAACAGGGTTGTCCAGGGACTGGCCTAAAGTTAAGTTTCTGCCTTTTGGCCTGTGAAGAAGGACTTATAAAAGTTAGGAACCCCAACCAAGAGAGCACCACAGTGGCAGAATTATCTGTTACTGCCTTTCAAACTCTCCCCACCCTAGTTCGTTCCAGGTCTGCCTTTTAGCTCTCCAACCTCCTCCAGGGAACCTTTTCAATGGTATTGCAATACCAAGCAATAACCTGACCAAGTAAGTAAGTCGAACTGCAGTTTTGTACACTGGCCTTAAAAACTGCCATGAGTTTTTGGCATCCCTTCAACCAGCCCTTTAAGGAAGAATCAATTAAGCAGTTTAAGTGCCAGTAATTAAAGGATGGGAAATTGAGTAAGGTGCTGTGCCTGTGAGATCTAAGCCCTTAGAAATGCATGCACGGGTGGTTAGAATTTCTTGATGATACATGTAAAGGCTCCTATGTATTCCATGCACAGATGATGACAATGTGTTCCTAGCAATACGTCTAAAGGTTTGCTCATATACACACGCAAGGTGCTTGTCTTCTCTCCGTGGAAATTTGGTCTTTTGATTTTCCTTTAGAAAAAAGCATCTCACCATCTTCAGTAAAATTGACTGTCATCAGTGCATAGGTTTGTAGCCTGCCTTTATGGCCAAAATATAAACAAATGTTAACACTTTCAATTTGTCTTGATTTCAGTTTTTCCAGGTGAGTGCCCATACTTTCCCATGACTGAAGATAAGATGATTTTATTAGGTGATAAGTCTGTATAATGTATACAGTAGTTAATAATAAAAAAGGTGAAATAACAACATTCATGGGCTGCATGCATTTTCTTCCATAAAAGTAGAGAGAAGATAGGTATGTTGGCAGTGGATGCAGAATCCAAAATTTTCTTGAGGTACTGTTTGGGCTTTAGTTGAGTTCCTACCAGTGGTGAAATCCAAAATTTTTCCCTACCAGTTCTGTGGGCGTGGCTTGGTGGTCATGTGATTGGGTGGGTGGGTGTGGCCAACTCAATGTCACTCCCACCCAGACACATGACACTCCCCCAGCCACACCTGCCCAGGTTTTGTGGCTCCTGGTGTTTTCTGTGGGAAATGGGTCATGTGACTGGATGGGCATGGCCAACTTGATTGGTCTCACCCTTAGGAAATTTCTCCTTAGTCCAACTCACAATAAAATAGCACAATAAAATAGCACTGTTCCAATACTTAGAATAGAATAGAATAGAATAACAGAGTTGGAAAGGACCTTGGAGGTCTTCTAGTCCAACCCCCTGCTTAGGCAGGAAACCCTACACCACTTCAGACAAATGATTATCCAATTTCTTCTTAAAAACTTCCAGTGTTGGAGCATTTACAACTTCTGGAGGCAAGTTGTTCCACTGATTAATTGTTCTGTCAGGAAATTTGAGGGGCTCCTACAAAAATGAGGGAGTCAATCTATCTTCCAAAGCACCAAAAGGCACAACAAGAAACAATGGATGGAAACTAACCAAAGAGAGAAGCAGCCTAGGACTAAAGAGAAATTTCCTAAGGGTGAGACCAATCAACCAATGGAATAGCTTACCATCACTAGAGGCTTTCAAAAAGAGTGAGGGAAGTACACCCCAAAAGGACAGTGCCAGGAACCACTAAAACAATGCAGAAAACTTAAAACAGCCATTCCCCTTTTTAAAAAGTCAACCCCAAAGCAAACGCAGCAGCTGAGAGGGAAACTAAGAGCAGCTGCTCAGGCTAATTGTGCTGCCAAAAGCCATTAACCCTTCCAACTCTATTATTCTATGTTCTCTCTCTACTAAATTGAGTGCTTTGCAGCAGAAGCAATACAGCTGGCTGGACCACACATGCATTAAATTCACGGCCTGTATGATCAAGCTGCATCATTGTCCCCTCCTTTATTTTCTCCCCAGGAAGAAACAAGAAGTAGCCAACACTGCAGCAGCTATAAAAGGTCTTGGGGAAACTCCAGGGAGTATCAGCTGATCACAGAAGTGTTACTTAATACTCTTTATAATGAAAATATTTGTAATCTTGTCCTTCTTCCTGAAGGAAAGAGGTTAATTCCATTCCCTGGATGGGTGATTGATGGGTTTCCCTGCCCTAATCCTGTCAGTTTGTTGTTTATTGACTTGATTCAGCGTGTATGGCTGATTTCAGGTGCAACTGTTAAGTGGAGCTATTAACTGAAGGGAGAGAGAGGGAGGGGAGAGAGAGAGAGAGAGAGAGAGAGAGAGAGAGAGAGAACCTCTCTTGCACTTTATTTTTAACCAGTTCTCCGAACTGCCTAAACAATATACTAACAGTTTGGACGAACCGTGAGAACCGGCTGAATTTCACCTGTGGTTCCTACCAACTGTTTCCTGCAATGTCTTTCTATTCTTGCATGAATATTAGTCAAGGAAAAAGGTAGGCATTGCATTTTGGGACATGTCCCCCTAAGTGTTAGTCTTTCACCAAGTTATTCAGGCAGCTAAACTATTTCCCAGTTTTAGTGACAGTCTTGAGAAACAGCCTTGAACTTTAAATGGACTGTTTTCGTTATTTGGAAGTTTTTTTGGTAAGAGTCATGAATATATAGGTACCCTCTGATGTTTTGATTGATTTATATCACTCAGTGGATGACTACTTAATTGCCATTTTTGAAAGGTTCACAATTTTGATTACTAATGTAGTATCTGTTGAACTATAATAGAAGCTTGCTGAATCTGGAGTTTGCTGGATTTTCAGCCAGACTAATCAAATCTTTAGATCAGTTTTGCAGTGTGAAGAGAGAGCTCCCCCTACAGATCGCCATCTCTGATAAAAAGGCTAAACTATCCCTCTGCTAGCTGACCTCATTCAGGGAAAATCATATTTGCATGGTTTTATATACTGCATATTCTTCAATACTAGATGTTCAGATTAAAATATGCTAGGTATTCTATTAGGATTGCATTTAAATTAAATTGCTTTTGCTTTCACTAGATGTTTCACTGGGCTATATTTTCTGGCTGATTAAGTTAATAAATTGAATTAGTACAACATTTAGTAAAGTCTTTGTAAAAGAACCATCAAAGATTGCAGGCAGGCTCCCAACTGCCTTCATTCCTCAGAGATTAAGAGGCTTACCGGGTTAAGAGGTTTGTATAACTGAAGGTGAAAATTAAGTCATTGTCCCTGTCAGCCTGACTAGAAAATTTATCCAAAGATCTCTTCTTATTGAGGGGAAAGATTCGCCATTTTTCAACTCTTTCAGCCAACTATTATGGCAAAGGATTCAGTGGCTGATTTCCACAGAACCTGTTGTGCATCCTACCCAATGATGGCTAGATCACACACTAAGCCAAAACAAACCATGTTTTAGTAACCCACACAGGTTTTTGTTAATGTAACCTTACAATAATATAGGATTAACTCATCTGGTCATGTTTCTTCTCTGCTCTGCTTTGCAACATCTGACATTCTTGTATGTCTGAACCCACAACCCATTTATAGCCCAAGAAATTAGCAAGGGTCTCTTCTGAAGCCAATCAAATATTTATTACAGTCAAAGATCAGAATAAGGAAGGTGAGTTACATTCAATTAAAAAGCATAAATATATCAAGTATAAAAATAATTATAAAAAACTAAAGAAATATAAAATAGAAGTATATATAAAAACAAAAAAGAAATCTAAGGGGGGGAATGTTAGATGGGTATAGGAAACATATAGGTTAATATATGACAGACAAACTATCATAATACAGAACACTGTAGAATAACAAACTATATGCTCATTAAGATTAAGTTATGGCACAGGCCATCATCTGACAGAATTTAAACACTTCTGCGCAGAATCTGGCAGCATATGTTGTAACGGATAATATCTGAAAGCAGGATAGTCGTTTAAAATTGACTTGTGTGCCCTGGCTATTTATGTAATAATGGTAAAATGAGGCTAGTACAAATGTCTCTGTAATATAGGCATTGGAGGAATTGTTGTATACCCAGAGTCATAGGGGCATTGACAATAACACTTAGCACTTAGACTTACATACCACTTCATAGTGCTTTACACTATCTAAGCAGTTTACAGAGTCAGTGTACTGCCTCCAACAGTCTGGATTTTCATTTTACCGACCTCAAAAGGATGGAAGTCTGAGTCAACCTTGAGCCGGTCATGATCGGACTTCTGACAATGGGCAGAGTTAGCCTGCAATACTGCATTCTAACCACTGCGCCACCACAGCATTGTCTCTCCAGGTAGGGAATTTTCCTGTATCAGACTTCAAGGACAGCTTAAGAGAGGGCATGACAAAGCAAAGGTACTCCAGTGGTTAGGTACTTCAAGTTTAATTAAATATGTCATTGGGGAAGCAGAATGCCTGTTCTTCACTGGCAATAAATTTTATTCTGTAAACCGTCTTGAGCCGCCATGGGCAAATAGGCGGCAATATAAATTCAATAAATAAATAAATAAAATAAAGATGTACGACCTGTCTAGATCAAATTGGTGCTCTGTGTCTGCTACAAGCTGTTTTAATAAACACTCTGGCTTAATCATATCCCATGCTGAGTAGAAGGCCTGGAGACAAGCCCAAGAATGACATTTTAGTTGCCACTGCATTTTTCTATGTGGACTGAAAATAATCTCTCATAGTTAATGGGGCAAAGCCAAGGGGGGAAAAGGATAGTCTGAGCCCAT